CAAGTCACGGGAATCGCGACCACCAACCCTGCCAGGGGACCGCTGATACCGATATCGAAGAGTTGCAGCCGGTTCGAATTCGATCCCTGCACAATGACCGCTCCCATTGTCCCCGTGATCTGAGGCATGGGAATAAAGAACGGAAGCGATGCGGGAACATGATGTCGGACCGCTTGCAGAAAGTGCCCCATTTCGTGCGTGAGCAGAATGCCCATCACGGCGACCATGTAGACGGGCCCACCGACGTAGTAGGTCGAAAAGCACGTTGCGATGAACAACCCCAGCGGCAGCAGCACACGGCGCGGCGGGGGCGGTTCTTGGCGGGGGCGTACCGTCTGATACTTCGAAATCGCCTCGGCTCGCATGTCCTCGGGCAAGGTGTGCCCTTCGAGCGTCGAAGCGTGCTGACGACTATCTTCCATTCGTTAACGCACCAAGGCGATTTTGAGTTCCGTAGGAGGCAGGCAGAAAGCCAAACATACCACACTCCGATACGTTGGCACCACGCCTGAAGGTCGCCGAGGAGCCCCGAATCTTGCCGAAAAAAGCGTAAAAATACGAAGAAATCCCGGCTTAGCCGCAGCTTTGCACAGGCAATTTGTCGCTAGTGCGAAACGCAAGTTCACCCGGTGAAGATCAATAGATCTCGATGCTCTTCACCGTGTTTCCACCACTGTGGTGGGCTGCGTAGACACAGCGGTCGGCACTTTCCAGCAAGTCGCGGAAGGGGAAGTTTTTCGCCACGCAGGAGACCGAAGCCGCCCCCACGCTGATCGACGCGGTTGGCCCGTCTTCCACCGGCATTCGCTGGGTCCATCGTTGCACCTGGCTCACCAAGTCTCGCCCCAAGGCGGCTGCCTCCTGGCGATCGCAATTCGGCACCACTAGAGCCAAACGACCCTCGCCTGCCACCAGGCACCGGCTGCCCGGATGATCGACCTGCTGGCATAAGACGTTCAAGCGGTCGAATAACGACCGGCCGCCTTCAACGCCCAACTGAAAGATCAATGACTCGTAGTCATCCAAATCGACCAGCAGCAAGCTCAACGGGCACCGGGCTTGTCGACACGCCGCTACCGCCGCCGTGAGATGGGCGTTCAGCCGACCATCTTCGGTGGCCGCCCTCGAGACCGTGGCTGTGGCACCATCGCCTTGCGATGGAGCAGTCGCTGGCGAAGGCTTCAAAGCTCCGTGCTGCGCGCTTTCTTGTTTCTCGTCGGTTCGCTGCACAGTTTTGACAGGTGTATCCGCAATGCGGTTCACCGCCTGCGCAACCGTCTGCATTTCGTCGAGCGCTTTGAGCCCATCGATGCGGCCAAGACGCTGCTGGATGAGTTCCTTTGTCACATCGTGCGCGGCCAGTGCCATCTGGCGATGAGCACGGGTGACGACTTCCTGATAGTTCAATCCCTGCGGTAAATCGAGCGAGAGCACGTCGGAAAGCTGGCCCACGTTCTCTTCGATTCGCGCTACGAGTGCCTCCAACTCTTCTTGACTCAGGGCGTGATGCAACCGCTCTCCAGTCTCCAGTAGCTCGGGAAGGGCCTCCGGATCTTCATCGACCAGCATCCGCGTGACGAGCCCGGCAAGATGCAAGATGTACGGCAGCGTTCTCGCGGGCGGTTCCAGCGTTTCAATCTCGGGCGGAAGTTCCGACAGCGCGATCGCCTCGACCAGGGCCGCCGGCATGTTCCACTGGGTGAGCAACCGCGACGTGAGCTGAACGTGGTCGAACCCGAGGACCTCGCGTTCAAGCGTGGTCAGTTCGGCCCGTTCTTCCATCGTGCGGGCGACAAAGTTGATCATCGGGTTGCCGATCTGCTGAATCAACACCAGCAACCCCAAGTCGTGCAATAGCCCCCCGAGAAAGGCCTCATCCCCGGGTCGCTTCCATACGGTTTCGCTGATCTCTCGCGCGGCGACCGCCTTGGTCAGGGCGGTGCTCCAGTAATGTTCGAGTATTGGACCTGAAATGTCGGCAAAGAGCCGCTCGGGTAAGCTGAACCCCAGCACGAGTAGTTTCAGCGGTTTCACGCCCAGCAAGGTCAGGGCCTGCCCCAAGTCTCGCACCGGCTGGCTCAACCCGAACAGCGAACTGTTGACCACTCTCAAGATCGACACCACCAAGGCCGGATCGTTCTCGATGCACGCGCGAATCTTCGCCGCATCAACTTCCTCACCACTGGTCAGTTGAACCACATCGGCCGCAACCGAGGGCAGCGAGTAGAGCGTTTGCGCTCGCTCAACAATTCGTTCGAATGAGTCTAGGTGCAGCATCGTCGTTTGTGAGTCTCAAACAGGCAGGATTCAACGCTCGGTCTACGCGAACACTTCGATCGCAGGCTGCTGTGGCAGGATGCAGCCGTGGGGGGCGACCGTGGCTTCAATAAACGTATCCGCAGTAAAAACTTAGCTTAGGTGAGCGCCGTCGGCTGAGTAGAGGTGCAATTGCGCGTCAATTGTGGCCGCAAAAACAGAAAGGGTGGTACGACCCGATCAGAACGGTCGCTTTGAGAACCGCTAGGACGCGGGCGCTATTCAACGACGATGCGTTTGTATTCCGCATCGCACCAGCGCTGCAGATCGCTGCGATACCAACGCGAGAACAAGCTCTCGCTGGGACCACCGGGCAAGTTGGTCCACGCCTCGCTGGTCGAGAGATCGACCACGAAGTGATACGAGGGGGCAAACGTTGTCTCGCGAGTTGCCGAACGAAGCAGATGCCCCTGAAACGGCGTGGCATGACACCCGGGCATGGGCAACTCTGTGGTATGAATTCCAAACGCACGGCCAACGAACCGGTCTTCGAAGAAACGGTTCGAGAAATAGAACGAGTTGGTGACCGACCACGGTTCGAATTGCTGCCCGACCAGTTTCTCGGCCGCCTGTCGAATCATCTGGCCTTTGTCACGGTGTTCCCACCAGGAAGAGTCCTCTTTGTGTAACAAGCGATCGACACATTCGATCACCGTGGTCGAGAACCCAATCCGCGAACACAGGTACAGCATCCGTCGCCAACCAATACCGCCACGTTCGTTCGGTTCTTCACCGAATATCTCCAACAGCACATTGCGATACAAACGTTGGAAAATCGTCGGCTCGACGCTTTCGGGGGCGTAGTTGTAGTCCCACGCGGCAAGCTGGTCTTTGATGGGCCCCTCGGGCATGTGGGGCAGAAAGATCTTCAACAACTCGCGGGCTTGCGTACTGATTACATCGTATTGCAGCGACTGCATGTCCTCCACGGTAGCTTGCGGCAACTCGGCCAATCGCTCGTCGATGCGTTGCTTCCGCCAATTGGGCACCGGCAGTGTGATCAACTCGGGCCCGTCCGGTGGATTGCAGTCTTCGTTGGCCGCAGCGACGAAGCCCTCGGGCGGATCGTAAATCCGCGGCAGCAACTTCGTCGACATGAGCCCTTGCCAGTGATTCGCCTCATCCCACATCGGTAGCGGAATCACCCCGTTGTGTTGCGGCGCCCGCTTGGGAAAACACCCGCTGGCCTGGCGACCAATGTGCCCCTCGCTGTCGGCCACAATCCACGACAACGTTGGCTGCGGGCACTCCCGCATGGCGTCCAACGCTTCTTTCGCGTTCTGGCAATCGATCAGCTCGAGCCAGGTCACAATCGCGCGACTCGCTCCAATGAACTCCCCGGTCCACTTCCACGACAGATAGTAGCCGGGGCCACCGGTAAGCGGATCGCCGTCGAGTGTGCCTTCGTCGTTGTAGAAAACGCGAACCGTCTCGGGGTCTTGCCCCTTGCGGCTCAGCACTTCGTCACGCGTCTTGAAGTCGTGCCAGGTATCGCCGCGACGATATTGAATGCGGCCCAGGCCATCTTCGTCTTCGGCAGGCCGGCAGTCTTCGATGAAGTAATCGCTGTTGTCGCCACGAAGGTACGTCACGCCCCAGGCGATGTTCTGTGTTCTTGCGGCGGCGAACAGAGGGCAGCCCGGCAAGGTGGCGCCCATCACATAGTTGTCGTCCCACTCCAGTGCGCACTCGTACCAAATCGACGGAAGACGGTTCACTTCCAAGTGCGGATCGGAAGCCATCAACGGCCCGCCGGTTTCGCTGCGAGTTGAAGTCACCGCCCAAGCATTACTGCCCGCCAGGCGGGGCAGATCGGTTATCAGCTCCAGTGCCTCATCCGATAGCTGCCGGCTGAGGTTCACCTTGCGCAGCATCTCGAAGTCGGCATTGTCGAGCACCGGCGAGAAAAGTTCCTTCAGCCGTTCTTCGCTCACGCCGGCGTGAATTAGTTCCAACACAAGCCGCTCGTTCTGGGCTTGCCCGATGGCGAGTCCCCCGAAACTCAGCAGCTTGCCGATGAGCAGCACGGCCTTTTGATTCCACGGCCCAGGCTGAAACCCGGTGGCCCACATCGGCAGCGAGCGCCACGATTGCTTCAGCCCGTCGTTCACGCCCTGGCAGTAGGCCGTAAGTTGGCCGAAAGAGTGGTCGTCGAACTGATCGACTTCGGCTTCCAGGTTGAGGTGCAGGCCCACCTTGCGGAAGAAACGATCGGTTTCGTAAAGCTCAGGGCTGTCGGCGATCGCTTCGGCCGAGTGACCCGCAGCCACCGCACGACCGAAGAGCATTTGCGTGGGGCGGTCCAGAGCGTGCATGATGCCCAGACCATAGAGCGTATCGACGAAGGTGGCCGCGCGAACGTGAGGGACCCCGTTATCATCGCGAGCCGCAGTGAAACGCCGACTCGTATTCTTGATATTAATCGGCTTCATTTATGCGCGGCGACGAGTGACAGCATGAGACAACGAGGGTTACCCCTTTTGGGAGTGACAAGCCCCGGCGGTGGAAATGGCCCGCTCAATTGGTGAATTGAGAGGACAAGCTCACATGGAGCGGTCGCGGAGGCGGCCCAATACGATAATATAAGTCGTTTTCGCGTTTGACGCACGACCGATATTTTTGTCACGAAACCGCTCATCGCAATTCACCGCGATTGGCCTTGATTCTCGCCCGCAAGCACGCTCATGCCGCGAAAACCACATACGGTCGATCGTCGCCAGTTGCCGGCGGCCTTGCTGTTCGTCAGCCCATGGCTGCTGGGGTTCGCAGTGCTCATCGTCTATCCGTTCATTGCTTCGCTGTATTGGAGCTTCTGCCGCTACGATTTACTGTCGAGCCCCGAATGGGTCGGCACCGAGAACTATCGCCAATTGCTCGACGAATTGCTGCACGGCGGCCGATTCGGACAGGCCCTGTGGAACACGGCCTACTACGCTTTGGTGGCCGTGCCCTTGTCGATCGTGCTTGGTGTGTGGCTGGCGGTGATGCTGTCGTGGAACATTCGCTACCGCGCGCTGTTCCGCACGGTGTTCTTTCTGCCTTCGGTTGTTCCGGTGGTGGCGGCCAGTGTGTTGTGGTTGTGGTTGCTCGACCCGCGCGATGGTCTGGTCAACTATGTGCTCTCCTGGTTCGGCATTGCAGGCCCCGACTGGTTCAAGAGCCCGCACGTCGCACTGTGGCCGCCCGATTGGTTTCGCGGCACCGCCGGTGTGGGCTCGAAAGATGCATTGGCGCTCATGTCTGCCTGGGGCATGGGCAACTTCATGCTCATCTACATGGCGGCCCTGCAAGATGTGCCCCGCGACTTGTACGAAGCCGCCGAGATCGATGGGGCCAACCGCGCGCGAAGATTCTGGCACATCACCTTGCCGATGCTTTCGCCGGTGATCTTCTTCAACCTGGTGATGGGCCTCATTCAATCGGTACAGGCTTTCACTCAGGTGTACATCGTCAGCGATGGCGTCGGCGAACCGCTTGGTTCGCTGCGTGTACTTTCGCTGCATTTGTTCCTCGCCGCGTTCAAGGAACTCGACATGGGTTACGCTTCGGCCATGGCGTGGACCTTGTTCGTTGTGATCGTGGCGGCGACCGCAATTCTATTTCGTTCCTCTCGCGCGTGGGTCTACTACGCGGGAGGAGCACGTTGAGCGCCGGTTACTCCGCATCGAGTATCGCCCGAGCCGTGGGATTGATCGCGGTCGGCCTGATGATTGTTCCCGCGGTGCTTGCGCCGGGAAGTCGATCGGAACCGATTCCCCAGGGCCGGCAGGAAGTGGTGTTCTGGCACTTCTGGGGTGGCCGTGATCGCGCGGTGGTCGAAGAGATCGTCGATCGCTTCAACAACTCACAGGACGAACACTACGTTCGCGCGGTGGCCATGCCGGGCGCGAACCTCGACTTAAAGTTCTTTCTCAGCGTTACCGGCGGCGATCCACCCGACTTGCTCAATCAGGACGATCCCGTGGTGGCCGATTGGGCCATTCGCGACGCACTGACCCCGCTCGATAAATTAGCGACTCCTGCAGAGATCTCGGAACTCGAAACATGGCTTTTCCCGGCGGCTCGCGCGCTAGGGAGTTTCGACGATCGACTCTACGCCCTGTGCAACGGGCTTGATATTCGGGCGCTGTACTACGACAAGAACGTGCTCGAAGAGTTCAATCGCGAACCGCCGCAAACGATCGAAGAAATAGACGAGCTGGCCCGACTGATCGCACCGCCGGGCCACGACATCCGCCGTCGTCGTTACGGCTACGTGCCCGACTCGCGCCGGCTATGGGCGTGGGGCATCGTGTTCGGCGGCCGTTTCTACGATCCGGCAACGGGTGGAATTACCGCCGACAGCCGCCCGATCGTCGATGCGCTGTCCTGGATGGCCTCGTACAGCGAAATGTATGGGGCCGACGCCTTGTTGGCGTTTCGCCAGGGAGATCAGGCCCTCACCGGGGCGGCGTTCCCGCTGTTGCAAGGTCGCTACGCCATGCTAATGGACGGTCAATGGCGCGTGCGCGAAGTGGAAGCTGCCGTCGAAGCGGCCAACGCGGCTGGAAGGCCAGCCCCACGTATCGGCGTCGTCCCGCTTCCCAAATGGAAAGACGGACCCGCCGACGCCGGTTGGGTGAACGGCAACTTCTTCATCGTTCCCCGCGGATGCAAGAACCCCGCCGGAGCCTGGCAGTTCATGAAGTTCTGGTCCGGCTTTGGTGGCAACGAAGCCGAAGCCGCCCGGGCCTGCGTCGCCGGCGGGTGGATTCCTGCCTCAGAACAAGTCGTCCAACAAGAAGTTTTTAAGCAGTACCTCAAAGATCACCCCGACTTCGCCACCTTCGTGCATTTGGCGGCAAGCAAAAACCAGGTGCCGTGGCCGCCGATCCCGGTGGCTCAATTCTACGACGATCAACTTCGCGAAGCGGCCATGGCGGCCATGTACAAGGGCGAAGACCCGAAAGCGGTGTTGCAACGAACAACCCGTCGCGTGCAACAGCGAATAGACGAGGTGCTCGAGCATGAAGACTAAACCGCACCCGTTAGGTTACACCGTGTTGCTGGTGATGGCATTGGTATTCGCCACGCCGCTCGTGTGGATGGTGCTTTCTTCGCTGAAACCGCAAGAACAACTCACGGCCGAACCACACCGGTTTCTCCCGCGTGAGTGGCGGCTGAGCAACTATCGCGATGCGGTCACCGCCATGCCGTACTTCCAATACCTTCGCAACTCGCTGGTGCTATGCGTGGGCAGTGTAATTGGCACATTGGCCTCCTGTACGGTGGTGGCCTACGCGCTCGCCCGTCTGCAATGGCCGGGGCGGAAGGTGGTGTTCGCCGTGATGATCGCCACCATGTTACTGCCGTGGCACGTGACGATGATCCCCCGGTTTCTCTTACTCCGCGAGTTGGGCATGTACGACTCGCTGGCCGCGCTGATCGTGCCGACGTTTCTCGGCGACGCGTTCTATATCTTTCTGCTGCGGCAGTTCTTCATCGCCATTCCAGAAGAACTCTCCGAGGCGGCCCGCATCGATGGCTGCGGCGAATGGTCCGTCTTCTGGCGAATCGTTCTCCCGCTGAGTCGCCCGGCACTGGCCACCGTGGCGTTGTTTCAATTCATCGCCGCCTGGAACGACTTTAGTGGCCCGTTGCTGTACCTAAGCGACCCGGCACGTTTCCCGCTGGCCTATGGGCTGGAGCAATTCGTGAGCGCGTACTCAAGCCAGACAGCGCTCCTGCTGGCTGCCGCGGTGCTGTTCACGCTGCCCATCGTGGTGCTGTTTTTGCTGGCCCAACGCACCTTTGTCGAGGGGTTCACCACCAGCGGGCTAAAGGGATAAAATGCAGCCCCCGGAACGAAACCCTCGCTGCGATGGCAAGGTAAATCCACTCGAGATTCATCGACGATCGGCACTTGGCCCCACCGCTTGTTCGGTGTGACTATAGTAGAGGTAGCCATCGCCAAACGAATCTTAAGACTCCCACCTTTCGCGATTCCCACCTGCGGAACACACCCAAAAAGAGGCGGTAAATGATATTACAAATTCTTAACATGCAGGCGATGGTGAGTCGTCTGAACGGGTTGGCATCGGCGATGATGCTGGCTGGTCTTGTGCTTTGCAGCTCCGTCGCGGCCGACGATTACGTACGCCAATTGCAAACCGACGCAATGGCCAACCGCCAGGCCGAATGGGGGCACTGGGGAGCCAAGCCGGAGAGCTACAACGGCTGGGCCTCGCACTCGAACCGGCTGATTCCCGTCTACACATTCGGTATCGATCTCGACGCTTATCAGGGCGCGAATAGTCCGTACCGCGACGCCGAACGCGTCAAAGAACTCTACGGCCAGGTACCGGCCGAGACGGTCAATCCCGAGGCCGAGTACTTCGACCAGACGGACGTTTATCGCCTGCAACGCGCGGCGGCCGACGCGGGCAAGAAGCACATCATCGTGATGGTCTTCGATGGCATGGACTGGCAAACCACCCGGGCCGCAGCGATCTTCAACTCGCAGAAGGTCGCCTACACCGAAGGCCGCGGCACCGGGCTTTCCTTCCTCGACCGTACCGACGGCGGAACCGACTTCGGATACTTCGTCACCAGCCCTCACAACGAAGGCACCGATGTCGACGTGGACAAACAAACCGTATCCAACCCCGGCGGTCGCACCCGCGGAGGTTATTCACCCCGCCTGGCAGGCCCCAACCCTTGGACTCCCGGCAGCGATATTCTTTATCCCATCTCGCAGAGCAACGAGTTGAAGCAGGCCTACACCGATTCGGCCTCCTCGGCCACTTCGCTGTTCAGCGGCATTAAAACCTACAACGATTCAATCAACATCGACTTTCGCGGGAATCAGGTCACGCCGATCTCGCGCGATCTACAAGAACAGGGTTACGCCATCGGCGTAGTGACGAGCGTTCCCGTGAGCCACGCCACGCCGGGCTGTGCGTATTCCAACAACGTCTCCCGCGATGATTTTCAAGACATCACCCGCGACTTGTTGGGCTTGCCGTCGATTGCCCACCCCGATGAGCCACTGCCCGGGGTTGATGTGCTGATTGGTGCCGGCTGGGGCGAAGACGTTCCCCGCGACAAAAAGCAGGGCGAGAACTTCGTTGAAGGCAACCAGTATCTAACCGATGCCGATATCGAGGCGGCCGATGTGCAAAACGGCGGACGTTACGAAGTCTTCCAACGCACCGCCGGAACCGAAGGACGCAAGGGGCTTTTGGAAGCCGCCAAGCGAGCCGCCGAGAACGGGCATGGCTTGCTGGGGTTTGTTGGAGACAAGAACGGACACCTCCCGTTCCAAACGGCCGACGGTCAGTACAACCCCGTGCCCGGTTTCTATCGTCGGCTGGAAGAGTACAGCCCAGACGATCTCCGCGAGAACCCCACGCTGGCCGACATGACCGAGGCCGCACTCACGGTGTTGGAAGCCGCCCCCGAGGGCTTCTGGCTGATGGTCGAAGCCGGCGAAGTGGATTGGGCTAACCACGACAACAACATCGATGCCTCGATCGGGGCCGTGAACAGCGGTGATGCCGCGTTCGATGTGATCATCGACTGGGTAAACCGCCACAACGCCTGGGACGACACCGCCGTGATCCTCACGGCCGATCACGGGCACTACCTCATGCTCGAAGACCCCACGGTACTGATCAAGCCGAGCGAGTAAGCGGATTCGCCTGTTTCCACGGGCCTGATATTCCGCATAACCCGCACGGTTTGTCGCTCGTCGCGATTGCAAAAGTCGGTCGGTCCTCTCAGACGATGTAAGAAATGTGCGCCCAAGGTGTCATGTCGGCATCGTCGCACGGAGAGGTTCGCCGATGAGTTCAATCGACTCAGCTTTGGGAAGCGTTGCTGCGGCAAAGCAGGCGGCTATTCATGCGCAGATCGGCGTGGCCGTAGCCGCCAAGAGCCTCGACGCAAGCCGTCTGCAAGGCGACGCGGCCGTGCAATTGCTGGAAGCCGCCGCCAATCTTTCGAAGGCTCTCGGGCGTGGGCAGAACTTCGACGCCCAGGCCTAATCGCCTCTAGCACATCTTCTAGCTTGGGTGGCACGGTTGGCTCGTCCAACCGTGAAGTCTGCACCGCTGGGCAACCTATCGGTGGCACCCAGTTCAGAATTGCCAGCCGTTCCTACGAGTGTCGCAAGGCTTCTGCGTTTACTTCGCCGCCGCCTGTTCGGTCGAGGGCTGCGGGGCAAACCCGGGCGAGGCCGTAAAGCTGAGCAGGGTGGCTCCATCTTCGCTGTTCCAGATGCGGATCTCGCCGTTGTACGAACCGGTGGCCAGTCGCTTGCTTGGCTCGTGGTAACTCAAGGCGTACACCCAATCGGCGTGCCCGGAGAATACGCGGACCTGCGAGCGATCTTCAACCTTATGCAGTCGGGCCGTCTTGTCGGCCGAGCAGCTAAACACCTGGCCCCCGTCCACCTCAACGCCATACACGTCGAGACCGAAGCCGGCCATTTCGCCGATCTTCTTTCCATCGGCCGGGTTCCAAACCTGAATCTTCTTGTCCCGCCCGCTGGTCATCACCTGAGTGCCGTCGGCGTTGAAGTCCACGTCGTACACCGGCTCACCGTGCGAAGGATAGGTGATCAGTGAATCGCCCGTGGTGGCGTCGAACAACTTCGAGGTCTTGTCGCGGCTGGCCGAAGCGAGTCGCGTGCCGTCGTGATTCCAGGCGATGTCCATCACCCAGTCGGCGTGATCTTCAATCAGCACTTGTTCTTCACCAGTGGCCACATCAAAGATGCGAATCGTCCGATCGGCCCCGCAGGTCGCGAGGCGTGTCGCATCGGGGCTGAACGCCACGCCGAACACCACATCATCCGTCGAGCAGATCACCCGCGCCAGCGAACCAGTCTCGGTATCGACCAGCCGAACCTCACCCGCCTGGCCGGGAGTGCCACCAGCGATGGCCAGTAACTTTCCATCGGGGCTGAAGTCGAGGCTGTACGTTCGTTCGGTGTTGTCTTGAATCCGCCGCACCAAGGTTCCGTCGGCCACATTCCACAGCGTCACTTCGTGATAACCACTGGCGGCCAGCAATTCGCCCCCGGGGTGAAACTCCAGCGCGGTGATCGCCACCGGCGCCCGGTAGGCCTCCGGCGGAGTAGGGTGCGACTTGCGGGGAACAATCGAGGCCAACGGCGCGGCCGGGTCCTCAGCATCGAACTTCGCCCCTTCGGCAATCCAGCGCCGCACCAGTTCGATCGACTCCGCCGGAAGCGGATCGCCATCTTTCGGCATCCGCACCTCGGCATCTTCTTCAATCAGCAACGAGAACAGATAGCTGTCGTCCGGGCTGCCCGCCTCGACATAACCGCCGTCCATCGCGCGTTCGAAGGTGTGCAACTGATAGTCGCCCTGCGGGTCGGTCGCCCCATGACAGCCGGCACATTGCTGCAAGAAGAGGGGGGCCACCTGCTCGCGAAAACTAACCGGCGCCGGCGCGTCATCCTGAGCAACGACAGCAAAGTCCGACAATGTGCAAGCCAGTGAAAGACAACAGGCAGCGTAGCGCAGCAAGCGGAGGATCATGGCGCTCTCGGTTTGAATTCAAGGTGGGCAGGGGAGAAAGGCGGGAATGTTGCCGTCGCACCGACTCAGCACCCCAAATCGAGCCCGGTGTGGCAGCAATGCGTATTATGATCGCCTGAGTTTCCGTTGCAACTTATCCGCGCAGCATCGATCAAGACCCTGAGCCGAGCCCAAAATGGCCTGATGCTGAAAACGTGGACTGTGCTTAGAACAGCTCTGGCACTCGTGGCGGGACAATTACGGCACAAAGAAGTGCCGGGAGTGCCAGAGTTGCGAGCAACGCTGAACGCACGAATCTCGTTACGCTCAACGCCGATGCGGCAAACGCCTTCGCGGCGAATGCCGGCGAACCATTAGCCCTTGCGATGACGGATCTTCGATCGCATGCGTCGCTTCTTACGACCGACCTTACGTCGACCCTTTCCGGTGCGTTTTGTTCCCACTACGTTCTCCGAGAAAAAATGGTTGAAAGAAAAAGGCGACTACCCGGGGCAGCCGCCCACCACTCAAGAATATGCGCTCTTACCTACTAGGCAAGCCGCGCAATCCTGAATTGTATTGCCATTTTCTCAGAGACACAACACCGAGAAGGTGCAAACCGCTTGGCCGGGAAGGCCAGGTAACCCAAGTAACTGACTGGGCTTAGACGGTTTCCCAATTGCGCGATTCGTCGATGGCACTGCGAATCAGCAGCAGCAACGCATTGGGGTCGTAAGGCTTGCGGACGAAGTACTGACAGCCCGCGGCTCGCGAGCGGCGAATGATGTCGGGCCGTTCCATGCCCGAGAGGATGATCACGGGGATTTGGCAAGTCTGCGGATCATCGGCCATCAGCTCGCAAACGCCCAGCCCGTCGATGTCGGGCAGTCGCAAATCGAGCACAACCAGCGACGGCTTTCGTTCACGAGCCATCTCCAGCCCTTCCTGGCCGCTGGCGGCGTCGATCACCTTAAATTGCTGCTGGGTCAGGCGGCGTCGGAGTACATCGACCATCGCCGGATCGTCGTCGATGATCAAAATGGTGCTCTGCTCAACCTGGGGAACACGACGTGCGAGGGGACGTTCGAGGATGTGAGCTTGCATCGTTTTCGTTTCCTGCCGAAGACACTTGGGGCGTGTACGAGAAAGACACGTATTACCTTATGCATCGAAAACCTAGCGCGTCTTTTGCAACAGGGCAACTTTTTGCAACACGAAGAGTCGACAAAGTTCAACATTGCCACCTGAGAATGCGCACAGACCGTTCAACCCTCGCGACCGTCACCCGGCCAGTGAGGGAGCTGCCCTGCGGCAGTCGTTACAATCGTTCACCGCGCAGGCTGAGCGAGAACCCTTACCGCTTAGGGTGAACGTCGAGCGAAATGCGATGCGAACCGCTTCTGCGAAGGGCCGCTTAACGGCCTTTCCAATCGACGCCCGACATCGAAGCCAGGGCCAACTCCAGGGCATGCGTTCCATCGCGAGCGTGACCTTGTGCGGCAAGCGCGATGTAGAGCTGATGCGCGAGCGCCAACCCCGGCAGGGAGAGGTTCATCCGCTTGGCCTCGGTCAGGGCGATGCCCATGTCCTTGATGAAGTGCTCGACAAAGAAGCCGGGGTCGAAGTTGTTATCGATAATCCGCGGCCCCAAGTTGGCCAGCGACCAACTTCCTGCGGCGCCCGGCCCCACCGATTCCATCACCGTGGGCAAGTCGAGCCCGGCCTTGTAGCCGTAAAGCAAGGCCTCGCAGACTCCGATCATGTTGGTGGCGATGAGCGTCTGATTGACCATCTTCGTGTGTTGCCCAGCCCCGGGTCCGCCTTGGTGAACGATGGTCTTTCCCATCACCTCAAAGCAGGGCATCAACGCATCGACGGCATCCTTCTCGCCGCCAACCATGATCGAAAGCCTTGCCTCGCGGGCACCCACATCGCCACCCGAAACAGGTGCGTCGACACTGTGTACGCTTTTCTGTTTTGCCGTTTCAGCAATCTCTTCGGCCAACGACGGTTCGCTGGTGGTCATATCGACGATGAGGTTGCCTTCTGAACAGCCGGCCAAGGCGCCGTCGTCACCGAGGATCACTTCTCGCACATCGCTGGGAAAGCCAACAATGGTGAAGATGACATCGGAGTTCTCCGCGACGGCCTTAGGAGAATCGACCCAGGTGGCCCCCGCATCGACCAGCGATTGGGCCTTCGACTTGGTGCGACTGTAGATCGTGGCCGAATAACCCTTCTTGATCAGGTGGCCGCACATGCTGATGCCCATCACACCCGTGCCAATCCAACCGATTCGTGTTTCCCCGGGAGAAACTTGCTTTAAGGCCATCTCAATCGATCCTTTCCAAACGCTGCCGACGCTGAGCAGCGAGGCGAGTCAAAAATTCGCAGTAGTCCGCGGGTGAGTATAACGAAGCAAACCCGCGTCGTCATGCGCGTGGGTACAGCTAAGTAGCTGATCGAAGAGCACGGGGCCAATTTGCAGAAGAGGGACGCCCGGTGCAAAGATCGGCCCGAACCGAGACTTACCAGCGTTCGTGGGGGCGTTTCAAGATTTCCATCAGGACGATGGCCTCTTTGAGCGACTGCTGATCTCTCAGCATGCTCCCCAGCCCGGCGGCGGAAATCGAGGACGTGGCAATCTGCTCTCTCACGGGCGAATGCACGTCGGGAACCACCTCGGCCTCGGTAATCGAATCGTCCTTGAGGGTTCCCAGATTATGATCAAACACCTCCTGCATGTGCCTGACCATCCGCTCATCGGCCAGTTCGACATTGCTTTGCGGTTTGGGAGGTTTCCGCGACTTGGAAGGTGTCCGCGACGCACGGGCTTGCTCTTCGAGCTGTCGCTTCAACCGTTTCGAGGCTTCCGTCGGGCGAGCTTCCACCAGGCGTCGTGTCTGTTGTGGCTCTGGCTCGATGATTTCGACTTCCAGCTCCTGCGGTTTCACTTTTCGGGGCGGCCCATCTTTCCCCCGGCGTTTCACGACGTCGCGAAGGAATTCCTCAACCTCGTCGCGTTGGGCATCCGCCCCCGGAGGCTGGCCCGCGGGCCGATTCGGGCGCTGCCGCTGCTTGGCAGCTTCGCGGTTCTTGGAGACGAATTGATTGAGCGCTCCCAAGACCCACAGCACCACGACCACCACAATCGGCAGTATTTCCAGTAGGTCGACAGCAAAGAGTGGAGCGAGAGCGAACATGATGTGGCTCACGATTCGTTGCGAGAATTCGGGGCCGAAGGCTGTTGCACGCCGGCGATTGAACGCCGCATATCGGTGTCGGCCTGCACGTTGCGAAGTTGGTAGTAATCCATGATACCCAACTTGTTCGTGCGGAATGCCTCAGCGATAGCCAGCGGAACCTGGGCTTCGGCCTCCACCAGTCGTGCACGGCTTTCTTCGATCTTGGCCGTTTGCTCTTGTTCTTGAGCCACGGCCATAGCCCGACGTCCTTCAGCATTGGCTTGGGCCACCCGGGTGTCGGCCTCCGCCTGATCGGCCTGCAGGCGGGCGCCAATATTCTCACCCACGTCGATATCCGCAATATCGATCGAGGCGATGGCGAACGCCGTTTGCGAATCCAAACGACGGGCGAGCACCGCGCGGGAGATACGGTCGGGGTTTTCCAGCACATCACCATGCGTGTCTGCCGAACCAATGGCCGAAACGATACCTTCACCAACCCGAGCGATGATCGTCTCTTCGGTGGCACCACCAATAATCTGTTGGATGTTCGCTCGCACCGTAACACGAGCGCGAACTTTCAGTTGAATGCCGTTCTTGGCGATCGCGTCGAGCGTGTCTCGTTTGCCATCGCGAGCGGGGCAGTCGATCACCTTGGGATAGACGCTCGTCTGCACGGCCTCTAGCACGTTGCGGCCTGCCAGGTCGATAGCCGTGGCCAGCTTGTAGTCGAGATCGATAATTTTGGCTTTGTTGGCCGCGATGATCGCCCGAATCACCATCGGCACATTCCCGCCGGCCAGGTAGTGGGCCTCCAGGGCTTGTCGGGTGATTCCGGTGCTGCTTTCGGTCAGCCCCGCCTGCACGGCCATAATCTTGCTCCGCACGATGACCGTGGGGTTCACCTTCCGGAAGGTCATGGCGATCAGGTCGAACATGCCGATCCCGGCACCGGTGGTGAACGACTGAATCCACAGACGAAAGAACCTCGCGAAGATTGCCAGGCCAATCACGCCCGCAATCATGACCACAAAGATAATCGCGATGGTGATCCAGCTACCGCCGGCACCTTGGGCGAAAAGCGTCGCCAGCATTTCCGTCGATCCTTGTACGGTTACAAACGCGGCAATGAATCCGTCTTGCTGCGGTGTCGTACCGCGAGCCACTCCGCAGCAAATTCCCCAACCAGGAGCCGTTAGCCTACCGCTTGGCAAGGTCGTGAGTAAAGCGCTCCCCCGGAAATTGCCCACTCCTGGGTATTAATAGTCTCATTTGGAAGATTGTCTCTCAGCCGAACAATCGCTCTGACGAGGAGATTCAAGTCGCGACAAAATGATGAGGTCGTGCTGGGAGAGGAATTAAGCCCTCAGCCCGCTTGGGGTTGAGGTTCACGATACATCGACCACACCTTCACCGGGTGCCCGGGGGCTGTGCCTTCCCACATCACTTGAAATCCATGGCGTTGGTAGAGCCACACATTACTTTCGCGGTGGGTGTCGAGATAACACGCCAGCCCCTCACGATCGGCTCGGGCGAGGTGCGGCTCGAGCAATCGACTGCCAAGCCCCTGCCGCTGACGGTCAGGATCGACCCCGATCGATGCCAGATACCAGTGGGGCTCGGGTGCATAGCGGTGGTGCAGTTCGGCAGCGATCTTGTCGTAGTCCAGCAGCCGTCGCATGCCGCGCACTCCAAAGCGAAACGGTAGGGCCAGCAGACCAGCTCGAATCTGACGAGCGAGCCCCGGCATCCCGGTCCCAGGAGGCAGCCAGCAGGCCACAGCCGAAACCCCTCCGGCGACAAACACTTCACCGTGTTGCAGGCTGTCGGACAAGATCGCGCCATAAAGCGAGGTCGTACCGCGAAGCCGCGCCGCTGTGTCAGACACGGCATACTGCATCAGCGGATACTCGAGAAACGCCCGACCCAGCACGGTCCGCGCCTGATGGAACTCCGCCTTCGAAAGCCGCTCGATCGCGGAGGCCGTCGTCAAACCATAATCCTCATGCAAAGATTCCCACCTCTCAGCAGGCAACTTTGGGTGCGTTGAAGTCCGTTGATTCTGGCCGGCCTTGATCGAACTGCAAAGATCCGGCCGTGGGTGAACGCCGGCCTACTCGAACGGATTCGCTTCCGGGTCGATCCCTAGCGAATCGATCGGTTTCGATAAATCGTCGATCGATTCCTGCGGTTCATCGTCATCAACAGGACGAACCACGACATGGTTCCCCTCAGCCCGTACGACACGCACCTGCTGTCCGGCGTCGATGGCCATTCCCTCACTCACCGCGTCGATCGTGCGCCCTTCGTACTCCACCGCTCCGCCAGGGAGCATATCGCACTTGGCCTCCACCACCTTGCCGACCAACTCATGCAACTCGCTCTTGCGACTGGAAGACGGCATCACGTCTTCGCTCGTGGGGGCGGCCAGCATCAGCCGTCGCCCGATGGGCGTATGCGGCCACATCTTCAGGGCCATGGCAATCCCCAGCGGAATCAAAATCACGGTGACCAGGCTGAAGATGATGAACGTGCCCGGTCCGGCCAGAAAAGCCATCACCAGCGCGGCCACCAAGGCCCCAAAGGCAACCACGCCCAACAGCCCTGCCGAAGGGATGAAAAGCTCCAGGGCCGCAACAGCGAGGCCGCAGATCAGCAGTAGAATTGCCCACACTAGGTACATGGCGCTTGGTGGATAAGGCTCTTGGTGAACTCGCGAAACATTCCCAACTTCATTCTACTTCGCGGACCAGTATACGATTGCCGCGTGCCTCGACCACCTCGACTTCGGTTCCTGCCGAAATCACCTCGCCGTCGCACAGCACGTCGACAATCTGCCCGCCGAAACGGGCTTTACCGCTGGGGGTGAGTTGCGTCGTCGTGCGACCTCGCTGGCCGATCAGTTCGTCGAAGTGGGCAAGCGATTCACGCTCGGAAATATCCGTAAGTTCCTCATCGGTGGGAGGGGCTTGGATGAGCTGATTGAAGAACGGCGTATGCGGCAAGAACCGTCGCAGCACCATAATCGAAACGATGATGCCCACGCCCGCACCCGCAACCATCAACATCGAATGCTGTAATTGTTCCACCTGGTAGGTGTTCCGAGGAATGACAAAGGTTTGGCTTGCCAACAACAGCGACGACAGCACAAGCATGCCGCCGCCAAGCCCAAAGATACCAAACCCGGGCAATACGAACACCTCGAGCACAATACAAACGATGCCGGTTACAAACAGAATGACTTCAAGCCAGCCGGCGGTACCGCCCAGGTGCATGGCCCAAAAGAAGAGCAAGAAACAAACCACTCCGATGAAGGCCCCAATCCCAATACCGGGGGCTTGAATCTCGGCGTACAGGGCGGCCCCACCAATCACCAACAAAAACCACGCTACGCTGGGTGTCCGCAGCGCGTCGATCAGAAAATGGGCCCAACCCGGCTCGACCAACTCGGGGTCGTTCTCCAACGAATACAGTTGCTTGAACGCCTGGAAGTCTTCGACCTCATGCGTGGCCAGCCCCACATCCACGGCCTCACTCGCATCCAGACGCAACACTTCCCCGGGGGCCTTCACCCGTTGGCCTTGTTCCCATTCTTTGGCATCTCCCAACTCCGCAACCTGTTCGGGTGTGAAGTACTCGATCGCCCCATCGGTTAGGCGGCGATAGCGAAACACCTCAATGCTTGGGTCGACCAGCGCGGCAGCCAGGGCGGGCGAACGAAACTTTCGCTTGGCAATTTCTTGCAGCGACTCGGCGGTCAGGCGAATCTCTTCCTCGTCTTCAATCTGAAAGGCCCCCGGCCCACCGATGGTGCTGCCGGCCTCCATCACCACCTGATCGCAGGCTACGACGAAGAAGGAGGCATCGGCTCGGGCTTCACCTGCAATGTAAGCCACCGTGCGTTGTTGGCTGGGGTCGAGCGCTGCCAGGTAGTTGGCCAACGCCATGCTATCGGTGGGCGATCCGCCCGGACTGTCGATCGACAGACAGATGAAGTTCACGTCGCGGCTGCGAATCGAATCGTCGATCATCCTACGGATTTGTTCGATCTGTGCAGCGGTGATGGGGCCCTCGATTGGCACTCGAATCGCCCGCCACGATCCGCCGAACGATGGGTCTTGCTCGAGCGACTCTCGCGGCAGCCCCCAGGCTTTGGTCACTTCCACGACATCGTCGGCCAGCAGTTTCACAAACCCTAGCTGTCGCGCCTGATTGGCTGAAAGCACATGCACTTCGCCGGCCGGAAACAAAACCTCTTCCGACTGAATGGCTTTGTTCGCCCGCAGTTCCTCAAGATCGGAAGCCAGCACAAACTCCCGGCTCACCTCCGTCTCGACAACAAGCACTTCCAGGTTGGGGTCGAGAAGGCCCAGGGCCACAGCCTTGGGAATGGTCTTCCGCCGCTCGGCAATGTCGCGGTACATCGTCCGTTCGCTGTTGCCAATCGTCCGAATGTCGCGGCCTGCGTCGCCGAAGCTGGCCTCGGGGTGCATCACAATTTCGTCGCAAGCGATGATCGGCAGCACGACATTCCCGGCCAGCGGCTCCGGGATGTAAGCCACCGTGGTGGCCCCGGCCAACGCACCGCTGGTCAGATACTCGGCAAAGTCGAAGGCCTTCCCCAAGTCGCTCGCCCCGGGTTGGAACTCGAAGATGATCACCGGCCACGGCCGCCGCGGATCTCGCTTGGCCTCGTCGATCACCTGACCGACAATCCGCCGCACACGCTTCTCCACCTGATCGGTAATGGGGGCCGCCACGGTCACCACTCGACCCACATACGGAGTCTCGCCGTCTTCTCCAGCTTCCGGCGGTGGCGCATCACCCAGGACGGAAAACGGCGCCAAAACAACGGTGAGCGCGAACAGCGTCGCCAGAAAGCGACCGCAGGAATACCCGCCACTTCGGTTGCGGAACAACTGGCTTACGGGAGGCCACAACGCCATGATCGCTCGCCCAGAAGTGGAAGTGCTGTGTGCGTAAGTGTTTAGCCTGATTGGCTTTGCTCGCCTAAATTATAGAATCGCCCTCATCACAGTCAATTCTTGCGATTCGGGTTTTGGACGGCGCAAACCTCTGACACTGGGTTTGTCGCGAACAAGTGGGGGAAGTCCCGATAGGGCGGGCCCCTGAGAATGTATTCGCCACCGCTTCGACAATCTTGCACCACCGCGCAAGTCGAAGACGAGACGTACCGCGTGGTTCCAGCGAGCTACTGGGTGCGAAGGTTGTTCGGCACAGGTGGGCCGGCCGGGCGTTGTGCCGCACGGGGGGGCTGCTGGCCCGGTTGAGGTTGCTCTGGAGAGGCTTCGACCATTTTCCACCCGTAGGGCACCTTGGGAGTGATGTCCTTCACGGCGTCCCAAATCCCATTCACCTTGGGTGCACCAAACAGATGGTCGGTCGTCTTATTGCCTCCGGGTAGCGTGATGCGAATGGCCACCGGTAGCATGGTCTGTTGCTTCAAGATCAAGTCGGCTCGCGAGAAGTTGGCCGCATCTTTCTGCATCCGGGGATACGCTTCCAGCCAGATTTCACCGTTCTCGATCCGACGCTGATGCTCTTCTTGCGAAGGGGCCTTCGCCAATCGCATGAAATAACGGGCCCGCAACTTGTTTGCCTTAGCACCAAAGATGAACGGTAGCGGTCCATCAACGATAGCTTTGCCTTGCAACTCTTTGGGCAACTTGCGCTCCACCACGAGCTTCTGTTGATGGTTGTATTCGTAGATCGACTGACCGTCGCAGATCCAGTGTTCGACTTCTTCCTTCGTTTCTTGGTCGACCACCTTGTAGACACCCTTGTCGGGTTTCTTAAACTTCAGTTCGCCGGTGGTTCGTTTTGAAGTCTTGAAGACCGGATCGAACTCATCACGCGTGAACGCGGTGGTTAGCGTTTTGATGGTGTCGCTCTGCAGTTCCCATTGCCGCAACACAAGATCGAGCTGGGCCGTCTCTTCGGGGGTGAGCTGAAACGGAGCCCGCGGCGCAACCGGGGGCTGTGCTCCCGGCACCGGCACTCGCTGGCCAGGAGCTTGTGCTTGTCGCTGCGGTTGAGGTACCTGAGCGCGAGGTTGCTGCACCGGTGCTTGCACCTGAGGGCGCACAGCAGGTGGCCCGACAGGTTGTTGCGCCATGAGTTGCACGGTGGCAAAACTCGCAATCGTCATCCCCAGGAACGTCACCCCTAGACGTAGCGGCATCGAATTCTCTCCTGCCGGTAGAACGCAGACCACGACACAGAAGGCCGAGGTGTGAAAACGGGCGGCGAGTCTAACAAGATCGCTCGATCCGACCTAGGTCGATTACGAGGGCGCGTCGAGCCATGCAAGCAACGGCTCGAGATCGCAGAAGTCATGCACCACCAAGTGTGCTTCAACTTCGAAAGGCAACACTTCGACCGCTCGTCCCCGCGTATATAGAACAGTCCAGGTTCCGGCACGACGTCCGGCCTCGAGATCGAAATGAAAGTCACCGATCACGGCAGTCTGCGAAGCTGGAATTCCCCACGAGTCGCAAATCAAATGAATGGCCGCCGGGTCCGGCTTTGCCGGAGCATCCTCTCGGGCTAGCACTTTGTCGAAGCTCAGGTCGAGCCGTCCCAGTGTCGCCTCGGTCGCCCGACGGCTATTGCGAGTGAGCAGCCCCAGCGGGATCGAGCGTTCCGCTAGCGTTGCCAGCAGTTCAGCCGCCCCGGGTATCATCCGGGCACGTTCCGCACCGGCCAGCTCGTGCAGGTCGAGAATCTCATGGCACCGGCGAGCTTCGTCCTCGGCCATGTGTTCGATCGCCTCGAGTATCGGCTGTCCCTTAGGCAGACCGATCTCTTGGCGGATCAACTCAAAGTCCAATCGCGAATCGACCAGCGTCCCATCGAGATCGAAGATGAAGCCCGCAATCGGACGTTCAGGCATTTCCGTTTCCCTTTGTCATGTGACCCTATCCCCAGGTTCGTCTTGACCCAAATGTTGCCGCTTTGCCACCATGCTGCTCTTGCTGACCGGGGTGAATGACAGATTGCCACGGTCCGGCCCAACACGCAACGGGCACCTCTACTATCGCCACGACTTTCCACCCGAGGACTCTCGCATGAAACTCGCCATCGTTCACGATTGGTTGACGGGCATGCGCGGTGGTGAGAAGTGCCTGGAAGTGTTGTGCCGCCGGTTTCCGCAGGCCGAGTTGTTCACACTCGTACACAACCCCGGTGCGGCCTCCGACACAATCGAGGCCATGCGAATCCGCACCAGTGTTTTACAACGATTTCCCGGAGCCACACGGCATTATCGCTATCTGCTGCCGTTGATGCCGTGGGCGATCGAACGTTTGCAAATCCCGGAAGACGTCGACCTGGTGGTGAGTTTCAGCCACGCGGTGGCCAAGAGCATTCAACCCCCGCCCGGCGTGCCTCACCTTTGTTACTGCTTCACTCCCATGCGTTACGCGTGGCATCTTCGCCAGGAATACTTCGGCGAAGCGGAACCGGCAGCCAAGCGAAAAGAGACAGCACTTCCCGAAACCTCCGTGCACTCGCTGCGTGTTCGCGGCCCCATCGAACTGGCTCGTCAGTTGGTGCTCGACCGCATTCGCGATTGGGATCGGGAAACGAGTGATCGGGTCACCCACTTCGTGGCCAGCAGTCACACGGTGGCCCGACGTTTGGCCGAATGTTACGGTCGCTCTTGTCGGGTGATCTACCCGCCGGTCGATACGGAGTTCTTCACGCCGGCCGAAGTTCCGCGAGAAGACTTCTATCTATGCGTTTCGGCCTTGGTTCCCTACAAACGAATCGAACTGGCCATCGAAGCTTGCAACCACCTGGGACGAAGATTGGTTGTGATCGGCGCCGGCCCTGAGCAGCAGCGGCTAGAACAACTGGCCGGACCGACCATCGAACTACTGGGTTGGCAACCCGATAATGTCATTCGCGATCACTATCGTCGCTGCAGGGCACTCCTGTTCCCGGGCCGCGAAGACTTCGGCCTGGTGCCTCTCGAAGCTCAGGCTTGTGGCGCGGGGGTCATCGCACTTCGCTCCGACGGAGCCACCGAGACCGTGCTCGCACCCACCGCCCGACAATCGGGCACCGGCATGTTCTTCGAAGAACAAACCTCAGCGGCGCTGATGAACACCATCGGCCAGTGGGAAAACACACCCCAGCCGTACAGCTCGCAACTTGCCCGAGAGCAAGCCGAGCACTTCGCTACCCGCCACTTCGAACGCCAACTGCTGGAGCACATTCACGAGTTGGTGGATGTTCCCGCGAAGACCGCAGCGGGCGTTTGAGGTCGTGCCCGAACTATTCGGGATCGCCCGTCAGATAGGTGTAACCCTGCAGGCCCCGTTCGTAGTCACGAAGCAACTGCCCCGATTGTTCCAAGTCGATGCGACCTTCTCGCACGGCAACTTCGACCGATTTGCGTAGCTGCCGCACCAAGGCTTCGCCGTCGAACTGAACGTATTTCAGCACCTCGCGCACGGTGTCGCCCTGAATTACGTGTTGCAGTTCAACTTCTCCGCTCGCGTCGATGCTGACATGCACTGCGTTGGTGTCGCCGAACAAATTGTGCATGTCGCCCAAGATTTCCTGATAGGCACCCACCAGAAAAGTGCCCAGGTAATAGGGCTCTTTCTTATAGCTGTGCAGGGGCAACACGCGTTTCACATCGCGACGGTCGATGAACTGATCGATCTTGCCGTCGGAATCGCAAGTGATGTCGCCCAACACCGCGCGGGAAGTCGGCCGCTCGTCGAGTCGATGAATGGGCATCACCGGGAACAACTGCTTGATGGCCCAACTGTCGGGGATCGACTGGAACAACGAGAAGTTACAGAAATAAGTGTCGGCCAACAGTGCGCCGAGCCCCGTCAGGTCCTCGGGCACGAAGTCCATTTCTTGAGTAATGCGATAAATCTTGCGACAGATGCCCCAGAACAGGTTCTCGGCCTGGCAGCGTTCCGCTAAGGAAAGATGCCCGGTGCGGAACAAGCTCATCGACATTTCCTGCAATTGCTGGGCGTCGTGATAACTCTCCAGAGCATTGCGTTGGGTTAGCTGCTCGTGGGTGGTAATCAAGTCTTTGATCGGTTGCTGGGTTTCCTCAGTCACTGCCGCCGGAACTTCGCTCTCGCCAAGCCCTGAAACCCCCAACACACCAAACACCAGCGCACTGTGGTAGGCCACAATGGCCCGTCCGCTTTCCGAAACAATGTTCGGCGAAGGCACATCGGAATCCTGGCACACCCGTTGAACGTGATAGATCACGTCGTTGGCATACTCTTGCAGGGTGTAGTTCGCACTCGACTCGAAGTTGGTTTGCGAACCGTCGTAATCCACCCCCAGCCCGCCGCCAACATCAAGGGTGTCGAGCCCCGCCCCAGCTTTGACCAACCCACAGTAAATTCGCGAGGCTTCGTCCAGGGCCGACTTGATGATACGAATGTTGGTGATCTGGCTGCCCAGGTGGAAGTGCAGCATCTTCAGGCAATCTTGCATGTCGTGCTTGCGAAGTTCCTCGACCGCCCGCAACACCTCGGTCACGGTCAGCCCGAACTTCGAGCGATAGCCGCCTGAAGACTTCCACCGCCCACTTCCCTGGCTCGACAGTTTCACCCGCACGCCAATTCTGGGGCGAACGCCCAACTCGCGCGCGTAGCGGAGAATCAACTCCAGCTCAGTATACTTTTCGACCACTGGCGTGATGTTGCGGCCAATCTTATGAGCCAACATCGCCAGGCGGATGAATTCGGCATCTTTAAAGCCGTTACAAATGATGGGCGTGCTGTTCGAAGCCACCGCCATCACGGCCAAAAGTTCCGGCTTCGATCCGGCTTCGAGTCCAAAGGCGTGCGCTTCGCCGAACTCGAGCACCTCTTCGACCACGGGCCGTTGTTGATTCACCTTGATCGGATAGACACAGGTGTACCGGCCCTGGTACTGGTGATCGCGAATCGCCTGGTCGAAGGCCGAGTAGATTTCACCAATGCGGTGGTTCAGCATCTCGGCGAAGCGAATCAGGATGGGGAGTTCAATCCCACGTAGCTGCAGTTGATCGATCAGTTGCTTCAAGTCGATCGATTGATCGGGGTCCTTGTTCGGATGAACGAGAAGGTGGCCGTTCGGGTGGATCGAGAAGTAGCCCTTCCCCCAGCCCTCCACTTCGTAGAGTTCGGTGGCGTCAACGATACTCCACGGTTTGACATCTTTCTGCATCAAGGGTGCCCTCAACCACGAAACCGCCGGCCGCAATCGGCCTGGGGGAAGCTTCCTTCCCACCTACGTCCACCAGAATATAGCCAGAAGGCTCCCGCCGTCGACTCCCCCCCTCGCACCCGCATTTCGGGGGTCCGTATGGATTGAATAGCCCCTTGGCCGCGCGGCTTAATTTCGGCTCAGTCGCGCTCGATGGTCTGCAGCAACAGGGGCAGCACGATAAGGTTGCCCGCGGTGCCGCCGGCCAGGGCCAGGCTGACCAGCACGCCGAAGTAAACCAGCGGGATGAACTGACTGAGCGTCAGTGCACTGAACCCGATCATGATCGCGATGGTCGAAAACACCATCGCCCGCCCGACCGTTTGATGGGCATGCATCAGGGCCTCGTGAACGGTGAAGCCCCGCTTGCGTACCCGCAGGAATTCGGTGAGGTAGTGAATCGAAGAATCGACCGAGAGCCCCATCGATACGGCGGCGATCATAGCGGCCCCCATGTTGATCCGCAGTCCGGCCCAACCCATCAAGCCTGTCAGCACCAAGATGGGCAAAGCGTTGGGCACCAGGGCAATGAGCGCCAGCCGAATGCTTCGAAACGCGATCAGCATCATGATGCCGATCGCGACGATGGCGATGGAGAACGTGACCCATTGATCGCGGACAATACTATTGATGAGCTGCGTGAGTAACACGAAGAAGCCCGTGACCTGAGCTTCGGGGAATTCTTCCTGCGTGATGCGAGTGACCTCTTCGATGATGTGGCTTTTCTGCTTCGAAGGCTGCCGCTCGCGGGCACGAAGCATGATGCGGTAATACTGCTGCCCGGTGTCCGGGTCCTGACCCAACAGCGAGTTCAGCATCGTCGGCATTGCCCCGCGGAGCAGCTCGACCAAAGGCCCCGCCGGCATCGAAGCGGTCATGTTCCCAAAAGGTTCCAGCGCATCGACCAGGCTCATCACCTTGGTCAACCCGGCGACATCTTGGCCGTTCTCGTCGGTTACCACGACCTCGGTTCGCAGACGATGTTCGAGGTGCCGAACCCGATCGAGAAACTTGTTGCTCAGTTCACCGTCGATGGGAAACAGCACGTCCCACACGCCGGCCCCGCCGAGGTCCTCTTCCACGAACTCATACGACTTCACCACAGGGCTATTCGCGCGGAAGTTCTTCGTGAAGTCGGTCTCCACTTCCAGCCACGTGATGCCGAAGATGGCGATGCCGGCAATCACCACGGTCGAGCCACCAACCATGATCGGAAACCGCTCGATGGAGTTGACCGTTTGATTCAACCCGAACTCAAGACCACCTTCACCCCAGGCTTGTTTCGGGTCGGTATCGAACCGCCCGAACAATGCCAGCCCCGGCAACAGCAGGGCCATGCTGACCAGCGCGAGGATGGCACCAATGGTCATCATCATGCCGAAATCTTGAATCGGCCCCACTTTCGCCCATAGCAGTGAACCGAACCCTGCCGCGTCAGTAAAGCAGGTCCAGATGATCGGCACCATCAACGTGGCGATGGCCACCGACAAAGAGACCCCCGTGTCTTTTCCTTCGGCACGAAGCTCACGAAACCGAACGATGATGTGCACCACAGCTCCGATGCCGATCACCGTGACAATGGCCCACAGCATCGAGCTGACCATGCTCAGACGAAACCCGCCCAACACGAGAATCGCCTTCGTGATGAGCAGCGTCACGTTCACAATCACCAGCGGAATGATCACCCAGCGAAGGCTGCGAAAGCAAAGGATGATCGTCAGTACCAGCAGCAAGGTGGAAGCTCGACCGAGTACCGTACTGTCGGCTTCCAGGTAACGAAACCCGTCGACGACGATGGCCGGTTCGCCCGTGATAACCCCTTGCGGATACTCCTCTATCACAGCCCGCAGTTGATCGACCGTTTCGTCCCGCGAAACTTCGGCCTTATCCTCGGGTTCGAGAAAACAAACCACGGCCGTAGTTTCATGATCGGCCCCAATAGTGAACCCCGTCATCAGTTCGATAAACCGCTGACTCATCTCTTGCTCGGAGAGAATCACTTCCGAATCCAAGATGGGGTTGTTGTTCAAACTCATCACCGAGTTGACCCCATCAACTTTGGCAAGTCGCTCGGTCACCTCGGTCAGACGTTCCATACCCTCGGGGGTCATCAATTGCGGGTCGACGTACGCCGCCAGGGCGATCGCTTCTCCGCCGAAGATGCGTTTCGATGTGCGGTAAGCCACCAAAATCGGGTCGTCGGGGGCGAACATGTTCTCGATCGAACGATCGAACCGCAGGTCGCTGGCCGGGAAGTAAGCCGCAATCGCAATGAGAATGCCCACACCCAGAAGGATTGCACGACGCGAGATGAGCCAGTTGGCAATCCGTTCCGAAAAGTTTGGGCTCGACATACTCAAGTTGCTTCGGGAGGCTGTTCGTTCATGTTCGCCGCGAATCGCACGGCAAAGTGGTCGACATTGTACAATGAGGCCCAAAGCCCTGCGACCGCCGCCGGAACCGCCTCGATCATCCTCTGTCGCCTCGATAACCACCCATGAAGCAACGCGAACTGTGGCTGCTGATCGCCTTTACCTTGGTGGTTCGCGGGGGCGTGCTGCGGGCGAGCTTCGACAGCTTACAGGCCGATCCCGATGCCTACCGCGAACTCGCGCGAAACATCATCGAGCACGGCACGCTCGGCACCGGCGAGCAACCCTCGGCCTATCGCCCTCCGCTGTACCCAATTCTGCTGGTGCCCTGCATTGCTCTCCAGGGCAGCGATCCACTGGGGATTGCCTTACTTCACGTTCTCTTGGGAACCGGCACCGTCGCACTGACCTGGGCCATTGGTGATCGTTGGGGTCTGGGACGATGGCGGTTACTGGCCGCCGTGCTCGTCGCGGTCGATCCGATCCTACTGCGGCAATCGACCCTGGTAATGACCGAAACGCTGGCCACCTTCGCCACCACGTTGGCTATCTTTCTGCTGACGACCACTCGTGGCGAACGCTTCTCGGCAGCACGCCTGTTTGCCGGCGGATGCGCAATCGGTGTGGCCACACTCACCCGGCCGACTTTTCTCCTCTGGGCCGCCTTCGGAGTCGCCGCTGTACTCGCGGCCGTCTTTTTCCAACAAGGAAGTCTTCAGCAGCGGCTCAAGCAGCAGATCGCTCGGGCAACACTCATCACCGCTGGTGTCGTCCTGCTACTGGCTCCTTGGGTCGCCCGCAACATGGCCGCGTTCGGCGCCCCGGTGCTGGCAACCACCCACGGAGGTTTCACTCTTCTGCTGGCAAACAACCCTTCGTTCTACGCCTACCTGCGAGAAGCACCCAGTGGCGAAGTGTGGGATGCCACCGCTTTCAACGAAGAGCAAGCCGCACGACTGCAGCGACGTTCACCAGCCGAGGAACTCGAGAGCAACCGCACCGCCTATCAGCAAGCATGGCAGCACATCGAAGCAGAACCTGCCATGTTCGTGCGAGCCTGCTTCGTGGGAGTCGGCCGCTTCTGGGGGCTGGTTCCGCATCGGGTTGTGGAACGCGAATCATCATTGCGCCGCAGCGTACGTTATGTCATTGGGGTTTGGCACTTTGGTGTCTTTGTTCTAGCGGTGATAGGCGCCGTGCATTGGCGGCAACGCCTGGTCGTGTTGCCCTGGGTGTGGGCCACGCTGTTGGTGCTGTCGCTATCGCTGGTGCATGCCTGCTACTGGAGCAATCTCCGCATGCGGGCTCCGTTGGTCCCGGTGGTCTCTCTTTACGCGGCTTGTGGAACATCGTTGATTGTTCGTTGGGCCGGTGGTGCTAAGTCCAGCAATGAAAGCACCTTAAGTAGTTGAGATCCTGCTCGAACCCGCCTTGACCCTCTGGCAAACACACTTCTATAATCCCGCGTCACCAGTCTTCTCATCTTTTGGGCTGGTTCGTTTGCTGTTTAGGAACAAGGCGTACGTCCGTCCCGTTCGGGATTGGTGTGTGCCGGCAAGGATGCCCTTCTGCTAACACGTCACTTCGCAAATCCGCAGCGACTACCTTCGCGCGCGAAATCGATGGTGCGCGCCTTGTGGTTGGCTGCGCTGATGACTGTTGTGGTACTAACCACATGCAGGCAATCGGCGGCGGTAGACGTCGAATTGCCGACAGCCAATCTGCGCGGTCCCATCAACATCGATGCGCAAAGCGCGAATCGGTGGTGGCAAGGTGCGTACGAGATTTGGCTGCTGCGGGGAGATTGCGTCATCTCCCAGGGCCGTTCGTTCGCCAAAAGCGATGAGGCCGTGGTCTGGATCGAGCGCGATGTCGAAGGCTCGGGCACCTCGAAGCTAATTGTCTATCTCGAAGGCAGCGCAGAACTAGTCGTCGAAACCCCGCAGGGTCCCAACCAGTTCACCGATCACACCTGGTTCGGGCGCTTCTATTCCGATCAACCGGTTCAGGTTCGTGTGCCCAACCCTGGGGCCGAACCCAAGATCAAACCACCCGTCTACGAGGCGGCCCTCGCTCGCCGCGATCCCTATCATCGCGCGGCGGTGCAGCGCACGCAGTTTACGCAATTCGATGCAGACACCCCGGAAGTCGATCCGATGCCCCCGGGCGCGCGACGCTTGCGGGCGTTCCCGCGCAGCAATGTGCCGGTGAATGTGCGCTGGTTCCCCAGCCCCTCGGGCAAAGAGTGGGTGGCCGTCATCGATTCGGGTGTGAACCTCATCATCGACGGTGTCGATGAAATTGGCTCTGTCGATATTCTCACCGACCGCATGGTGATTTGGACCGCCGGGCTCGAACAGCCCGACCTCTCGGGCCAATCGCTGCAGGGCGACGAAACGCCCATCGAGCTTTACCTCGAGGGCAACATCGTCTTCCGCCAGGGCGAGCGAATCGTGCATGCCCAGCGGATGTACTACAACGTGAATCGCGAAGTCGGCACGGTGCTCGACGCCGAGATCTTAACGCCAGTGCCAGCTTACGAAGGCCTGCTGCGCTTGAAGGCCGACGTGGTCCAGCAGACGGGGCCCGGCCACTTCTATGCCGAACGAGGCTTTCTCACCACCAGCCGCTTCGGAGCACCACGCTATCGCTTGCAATCGCAGCAGATTTTCTTCGACGACACGCAGGTTCCAGTAATCGACCCCATGACCGGCGCCCCGGCCTTCGACCCTGCCACCGGAGAGCCGCTGGTCGAGCACGAGCGGTTGGCCACGGCCAAGAACAACTTCCTGTTCCTAGGTCCGGTCCCCGTGTTCTACTGGCCGCGATTCGCCACCGATGTGAGCGACCCCTCATTCTTCATCCAACGGGCGGCCATTAAGAACGACCAGATCTTTGGTACCCAGGTGCTAATAGACTGGAACGCGTATCAACTCTTTGGCATCGAGAATCGGCCCGAGGGCACCGAATGGGATTTCAGCACCGATTACCTCAGCGATCGTGGACCCGCGGGCGGAACCTCGTTCCGCTACAACCGCGCGGGCACCTTCTTCGATAGCCCCACCACGTATGCCGGGTTCCTCGATGCCTGGGCCATCCAAGATCACGGCGACGACAATCTGGGTGCGGGGCGAATGGATATCCCGCCGGATAAAGACTTCCGCTATCGCTTGCTGTGGCGGCATCGCGAGTACTTTGTCAACTCGATGCGGCTCACCGCCGAGGTGGGCTGGATCAGCGACCGCAACTTCCTCGAACAATACTTCGAGAACGAGTGGGACGACTTTAAAGACGAAAGCACCGGCATTGAACTGAAGCAGCTCCGCGACATTCGATCTTGGAGTATCACGACCGATGTCCGTCTGAACGACTTCGTCACCACAACGGAGTGGTTGCCACGGGGCGACTACTTCCAACTGGGGCAGTCGTTGTTCGGCGATCGGCTCACCTGGTTCCAACACTCGTCGGCCGGCTATGCTCGTTACCGAACGGCCAGCTTCCCCGACAACCCAACCCTCGCCGCCGACTTCGTACCGCTCCCGTGGGACGTCACGGCCGCTGGCGAACGTTTGGCAACCCGCCACGGTCTCGAATTGCCAGTGCCACTGGGACCGACCAAGTTTGTTCCCTATGTTGTGGGCGAGCTTGCTCACTGGGGTGAAGACATCTCGGGGAACGACCTGCAACGCGCCTACGGTGCGGCAGGTCTGAGGGCCAGTTTGCCCATGTGGAATGCGTACCCGATGGTTGAAAGCCCGCTGTTCAACGTGCACGGGCTGGCCCACAAGGTGGTGTTTGGCGCCGACTTTACCTATGCAGACGCGAACCAAGATCTGACCGATCTTCAATTGTACGATGCGATCGACGACGACAATATCGAGGCGTTCACCCGTCGGTTCACGAGCTTCGATTTCGGCGGAACCCTCCCGCCGGAGTTCGACCCCCGGTTTTACGCCCTGCGCTATGGCATCGCCAATTACGTCACTTCGCCCACGACCGAAATCGCCGACGATCTGACAACCCTGCGGCTCGATGTCGAGCAGCGTTGGCAAACCAAGCGCGGAATGCCAGGGCAACGGAGAATCATTGATTGGATCGTCTTCGATACGGGAGCCGTGATCTTCCCGGATGCAGCCCGCGACAACTTCAACGAAGATGTCGGGCTGGTGCACTACGACTTCCGTTGGCACGTGGGCGACAAGCTCACCTTGCTCTCCGATGGTATCTTCGACTTCTTCCCCGATGGGCAGAAGATTACCACCGTGGGTGGCTATTTGAATCGGCCGCCTCGCGGAGCCATCAGCCTGCAGTTCCGCTTGCTCGACGGACCAATCACCAGTACGGCATTGATTGCCAGCTACAGCTATTTGATGAGCCCCAAGTGGATTTCCACCGTGGGGGCGATGGTCGACTTCGAGAACGACGTCCAGACGGAAAGCCTCACCATCACCCGTATTGGCGAGTCTCTGCTGGTGAGCGCGGGCATCACGGGCAACTCGACCAAAGATGTCGTGGGCGTGAACTTCACGATCGAGCCGCGCTTCTTCCCGAGTTCACGAATTCGCGGAGCCGGCGGCGCTCAGATCCCACCCGCAGGTGCATTCGGCCTGGAGTAATCCACGGCCGCAGCGAAAACCTGGCTTGAATCAATCGTTGTGAGTCAAACAGTCACGATTTAGGAGAGAGGGGTTCTGTCTTGCTTCCACATTCCCCTGGTATGATCGTGACCTCAACGCAATCCCGCACCATGGGTCAACGTGGGTTGCGAGAAGGTGACTCCGCGGGAGACAAAGCCATGCCCTATCGAAGCTCCGGCGGCCAGGAGTCGTGGCGGAAAAAGTTCTACCACGCCTTTCGCGGCTTCAAACGCGGGGTGCGCGGAGAGAGCAGCTTCTTCGTGCACTTCTTCTTTGCTGCCGCTGTGATCGCCGCGGGATTGGCCTTCGGCGTGAGTATGATCGAGTGGTGCATCCTCACACTCTGCATCGCCATCGTGCTGGCGGCCGAAATGTTCAACAGCGCCCTGGAGCGAATGGCCCGCTCGATCACCGACGAGTACGACTCGAACATCGGGGCCGCGCTCGATATCGGCAGCGCCGCCGTTCTGATCACAGCTATCGGGGCCGCCCTCGTCGGCGCCACGATCTTCATCAGCCGGCTAATCGAACTACTCGGCTGGTAAGTTCAGCCTGGGAAGACTCGCCCAAGCCATTTTCAACTGCGACGCCGAATACCGCACATGGCGAGCAGGCCCAGAGCCATTCCCGCAAGAACTAACGTGGACGGTTCCGGGACCACCGTGTATTCGAGCACCAACTCCGGTGCATGAAGTCCTGTGAAGCCAGAGCCATCGTGCTCTTTGCTGGCGAAGCCTCCCAGAGAAGCTTCATTATCGTCGGCACGAATCACAAAGCTGACCAAGCCGTTCGTGTCGCTATTGAGGAACGACAACAAGGCCGCATTAGAGATAGATACGGTGCCCGGTGAAGCCGGAGTTGTACCGCCATTGACGATCAACTCGACCGTGCCCGCGGCTTGGCTGTTCGAATCGTTGCCGATCCCGTCGTGCATCGGAGCATTGTCCCAGGTGATGGCGCTCTCGCTCCAGGTTTCGTCAAGTTGCCCGGGACCGTAGTCGCTGAACTCATTCAGACCCTGCAGGTCGTAGTCTTTCGAGAAAGACGTCGTGCTGAACAGTCGCAGCGTAGCGCTGGTGATCGTGTCGATGTTGTCAGGCAGGTCGAAACGGAAAATCGACTTTTGAAAGCGATCAATCCCCGCGGTACTAACTCTGGCCAGGCGGTAGGCCAGGTTGCTGAACGATCCAAAGTTATCGGCCGATTGATCGTCGGTACCCATCAGCCCGCGAAGCTGCGCGTCGGCCCCGTCGCCATCGGCGGTCGAGATCGTAATCATTTCGGCCTGGGCCTGCAGTGTGAGCAACGCTGAAGTAGCCAGGGTAAGTAGAGCTAGGTAGAAAAATCTCGCTAGGCGATAACTCATAAGTGATCCTGTTGAAGTCGAACCTGATGTTCAGGCAGAGTTGCGATTTCGTGCGCGACGAAGTACGAACAGCCCGAACCCGAGGGCTGCCAGTGCAAACGCCGAAGGTTCTGGCACAACCGTGTATTCAAGCACCAGTTCCGGTGCATGAAGTCCTGTGAAGCCAGAGCCATCGTGCTCTTTGCTGGCGAAGTTGCCTAAGGCAGTCTCATTGTCGTCAGCACGAATAAGAAAAGTGACCAGGCCATTCGTGTCATCTTCGATGAACGATGCCAGGGCTGCCGAACTATAGGTTTCGGTACCGGGCGAAGATGGTGTCGCGCCTCCGTTGACGAGGGTCACGAACGTGCCCGATGCCAGGCCATTCGAGTTACTCCCAATGCCCTCGTGGAAAGGGGCATTGTCCCAGGTGATGTCGCCTTCGCCCCAGGTCTCGTCGAGTTGGCCGGGGCCATAGTCGCTCAGTTCTCTGAGCCCGTACAGGTCATAATCTTTTGAAAACGTTGTCGTGCTATAGAGACGTAAAGTAGCACTGATCACCGTGTCGATATTGTCGGGAAGGTCGAAGCGAATGATCGACTTTTGAAATCGATCTAATCCCGCGGTTCCCGCACTGGCATACCGATAGGCGAGATTGCTGACACCACCAAAATTGTCAGCCGATTGATCATCACTTCCAATGAGCCCACGAATTTGGGCATCGGCCCCGTCGCCATCGGCGGTTGAGATCGTAATGGTTTCGGCGTGTGAGAACGTGCCGCTAAGCGTCAGGAAGACAAGTGTGCCAAGCGAGAGTAAGAAAGGTTTGCATCTGAAAGAATTCACTAGCGGCTCCTGGGGTTCTCATCACACATGTCTAGATGTTCATCAAGGTCGGTATGCCTTCGGAGAGTATCAACACGATGGAGAGCGGGCAAGGAATTATGAAGTGATTCATACAATTCCAATAATTAATCACTTAGGAAGCTAGCAATTGATCGCAGGACTACTTCTTTCAAAGCGAACGAGAACCGCGTTTTTCAAAAGATCTCCTCTCACGCAGCATCCAGCGGGGGGCACGATATGCGCCAGGTGTTAAAGCTCTTTGGATATACGAGACCAAACAACAAACGGGATGGCTCCGCGAAGGAACCATCCCGTTGTTGTGATCTGGATGAAGTTCTTAAAAGCGGTTGCTCGCCGGGCATCCTTCCCCAGTATTCCTTTAGCGAGCAACCGTGTGAGTTTGTATTACGAACATCCCATGCTGTTGCCACAGTTGTGACACAGGTAACAGTTGCCGTTGCGAACGGTGATTGCACCGCAGTTATCGCACAGCGGGGCGTCAACCTGGAAGCGTGCGAACTGATCGTTTCGCAAGTCAACGTCGGTCGATGAACCGTTGCTCGCCGGAATCACAGCGTGAGTTCCGTTTGTCGAACCGTTGCTGGAACCGACCGCGGGGGTCTGCTCCTTCATTTCCGGAGTCGACGGCAACTCGTTCTCCACGGTATCGGTCTTCTCAGCAGATTCTTCCGGCTTGTAGCCACCTTGCTGCTCTTCGCGATAGCCTTGGATGAACGTGATGCCCAACCAGCGGAAGATGTAGTCGACCAGGCTCTTGGCAATCCGAATGTCCGGATTCGTCGTGAAGCCCATTGGCTCGAACCGCGTATAGGAGAACTTGCTCACATACACGTCCAAGGGCACGCCGTACTGCAGGCTCATCGAAACCGCCGTACCGAAGCTGTCCATCAAACCGCCGATGGTGCTTCCTTCTTTGGCCATCGTGATGAACATTTCGCCGGGGCGACCATCGTTGTAGAGGCCCACCGTGATGTAGCCCTCGTGACCGCCCACGCTGAACTTGTGGGTGATCGACTTGCGAGTGTCGGGCAAGCGTTCGCGACGAGGAGCTGCCGTGGCTGCCGCCGCGGCCTTGTCCCCTTCGCTGCTGGTCGACAGCGGTTGGCTGCTCTTCGAGCCGTCGCGATACACGGCCAAAGCTTTCAGACCCAGCTTCCACCCTTCTGCATAGGCGTCGGCAATATCCTCGACAGTCGACTCTTGCGGCATGTTCACCGTCTTCGAGATCGCACCCGAGAGGAACGGCTGCGCGGCGGCCATCATGTGAATGTGGGCCCGCCACTTGATCGAACGTTTGCCGTTCTTGGGGGCGAAGGCACAGTCGAACACCGGGATGTGCTCTTCCTTCAACTCCGGCGCGCCTTCGATCGTTTCGTTCTTGTCGATGTAGGCCAGCATCGATTCAATCTGCGGCTCGTCGTAGCCCAGGGTTCGCAGACCCAGCGGGACGGTGCGGTTGACAATCTTCAGCGTACCGCCACCGGCCAACTGCTTGTACTTCACCAGGGCGATGTCCGGCTCGATGCCCGTGGTATCGCAATCCATCAGGAAGCTGATCGTACCGGTGGGGGCCAGCACGGTGGCCTGAGCATTGCGGAAACCAAAGCGACGCCCGGTGTCGAGCACTTCGTCCCACACACGGCGGGCTTCTTGCTTCAACTCTGCCGGGCCCGCTTCGTCGATATCCTCGACGGCGTCGCGATGCATCTGCATCACGTCGAGCATCGGCTGCCGGTTCTCGGCGAAGCCTTCGAAGGGACCCACGGCCGAAGCCAACTCGGCACTGCACAGGTTCGCCGCACCATGCAGCAAAGCCGTAAGCGAACCACACATTCCGCGGGCGGCATCCGAATCGTACGACAGACCGCTCGACATGATCAGGCTGCCTAGGTTCGAGTAACCCAAGCCCAACGGGCGGAACCGGTGGCTGTTCTCCGCGATCGGCTTCGTGGGGTAGCTGGCATGATCGACCAGAATTTCCTGAGCGATGTAGAACACCCGACAGGCTGCCGTGAATCGCTCGGCGTCGAACGAACCGTCTGGGCGACGGAACTTCATCAGGTTGATGCTCGCCAGGTTGCAGGCCGTGTCGTCGAGGAACATGTATTCCGAGCACGGATTCGACGCATTGATACGACCTGAGTTGGGGCACGTGTGCCAACGGTTGATCGTCGTGTCGTACTGCACGCCAGGGTCGCCACACGACCAAGCACCTTCGGCCATCTTCTCCAGCAACTCAGTGGCCGGATAAGTGGGACCTTCGTGCTTCTTGTCGGTCACCCAGTGCGTGGTCCAGGGCTCTTCGTTCTCAACAGCTTCCATGAAGTCGTCGGTCACGCGGACGGACAGGTTCGCGTTCTGGAACAGAATCGAGCTGTAGGCCTCGCCGTTGAAGTTCGACTCGTAGCCGTTGGCGATGAGGATGTGGGCCTTCTTTTCTTCTTTGGCCTTGGCCTCGATGAATTCGAGAATATCGGGGTGCCACACCTTCAGCGATTGCATCTTGGCGGCCCGACGGGTCTTGCCGCCGCTCTTCACCACCGCAGCAATCTGGTCGTACACCCGCATGAACGACAACGGGCCCGAGGGCTTACCGCCGCCGCTGAGCTTCTCGCGGTGCGATCGCAGGGTCGAAAGATCGGTACCCGTGCCGGAGCCGAACTTGAACAGCATGGCCTCGCTGCGGGCGAGATCCATGATGTCTTCCATGTTGTCCTGCACGCTTTGAATGAAGCAGGCCGAACCTTGCGGGTACTCGTAAGAGTTCTCCGGCTGCTGGGCTTCCTCGATCTCCGGGTTCCAATGCCAGTTGCATTGGGCTCCTTGGACGCCATAGCAATGGAATAGACCGACATTGAACCAGACCGGCGAGTTGAACGCCCCATGCTGGTGCAAGCACAACCAGGTGAGGTCGCGATAGAAACGCTCGCCGTCTTCGGGGGTGGAGAAGTAGCCGTCGGCGATGCCCCAGTCGGAAATGGTGCGGGTCACGCGATTGATGAGCTGTCGTACGCTCGATTCGCGTTCTTCGGTGCCGACTTCGCCGTAGAAGTACTTGCTGACGACAACGTTGGTCGCCAGCTGGCTCCAGAAGCTGGGCACCTCGCAGTCGGTCTGCTCGAAGAGCACTTCGCCCGACTCGTCCCGGATCGCGGCGCTCCGCTTGTCCCAGCTTACGGTGTCAAACGGATCTTTGACTTCGGGGGGGCAGAATTTCGTTTCGTGGACCAAGCCGCGGCTGAACCGGCGGGTGGTCGTTTGCTTGGTCGTTTCGCCAGACACGTGGGTCTGTTCCTGCGCAAGTCCAACACCAATATCTGCCATCAGTCGACCTCCCTGTACGTAAGCAAGCGGAAAAAGGGCATCGTGCCAAAAAGGTGAACATTAGTATATCATCATGCCCGTTTATCGGCGAGAACCGCCACGGATCATTGATGCTTTAGTCTTGCGGGGCGCGGTTCAAACGAGCGACATGAGTAGGATCGTCTGAATTACCGCCTCTCACCAATATATTGTGGTCGATGCCCTTGTGACCACAATATGCTGGCGTGGGGGACGATCTTACACCTTTTAGGCAGTCCGTCAACAGAAAATTAACAAAAGGCGTAAGTCGTTATGCTGCAACGAAGTTGAAAGCTGGAGTCAGCTAGCACTCAGTGGTAGCAGACGGCCGATCCCGACGTCAAGCGACCCCAATTTTTTCCGCCGAATCCACCGAAAGGACAGTTTCCCCCGTGAAACTTAGGGCCCCAGTCAGCCGGTCCCGAATTGGGGAAAAACTGGCGATGGCCAGAGGTAATTCAGTTCGCCTGCTGCTGAATCCATATGAAAGGCTGAGGGACATATGGGCCCGAACGGGCTCCATATTAAAGGCAGGGTATAATATGGAGTAATTCGAGAGCCATATTAAAGGCACACCAACATATGGGAAAACAAGATCGACAATTCAGGGACTCACAAAGAGCAGGACGATACGTCAGTCAGCCCACCGGCTATCGAGCTTTCGTACCCGCTGCACTGCCACCTGATCCTCCTCTTGAAATAAGCGCAGATCTGAATGTGCTGCTTTCTCAGGCCAATCTTGCGTTAGGGCGTTTGGACGGCTCGATCCAGACACTGCCTGATCCAGATCTATTTGTGTACATGTACGTCCGCAAAGAGGCGGTGCTATCCAGTCAGATCGAGGGAACGCAAAGCTCGTTGCAAGATGTGTTGGCGGCTGAAGCGAAGATACTTACTCCCGACCGTCCGCGTGATGTGGATGAGGTGGTGAACTACGTTTCGGCCATGAATGAAGGGCTCGCCCGACTTGCTGAGCTCCCCATCTCGGTTCGGCTAATTCGAGAAATTCACGCGAAATTGCTCGAAGGTGTGCGGGGCTCACATTTGACACCGGGTGAACTGAGGACGAGCCAAAACTGGATTGGACCTGCAGGTTGCACCTTGGACGAAGCGATATTCATTCCTCCTCCGCCGCATGAAGTAGCTCAACATCTGGCAGAATTGGAGCGGTTTCTACATTCAGATTCGCAACTGCCCCTGCTGGTGAAGATTGGACTAGCACATGCTCAGTTTGAGACCATTCATCCGTTCCTCGATGGAAACGGACGTGTCGGGCGATTGCTGATCACGCTATTGCTGTGCGAAAGAAGCGTGTTAGTGAAGCCAGTACTCTACCTTTCTTATTATTTCAAACGACATCGCCAAGCCTACTACGACCACCTGCAATCGATCCGAGATGAGGGCACATGGGAGCGATGGCTCACTTTTTTTATGCACGGTGTTCTAGAAGTGAGCCAGCAGGCCACAGATACGGCACGTGAGATCCTAGAACTCCGCGAAAGTCATCGCAGGGCAATCACCGATAATCTTGGCCGCGCGGCTGGAAACGGATATCGAGTGCTCGAACATTTGTACGAACACCCAATCGTGTCTGTGAATGATGTTAAAGGGCTAATTAGAACCACATATCCGGCCGCAAATGAACTCGTGGCAAACCTGGTTCAAATCGGCATCCTTCAAGAATTCACTGGTCGCACGCGTAACCGGCGATTTCGTTATGAGGAGTATGTACAACTCTTCCACGACACTGAAAACTGAGGCGATCCAAATCCAGTGAGGAGAATTAAGATTTAGCTGATCAACCCTCAACCAACCCCGCCAAAGCATCCTCGGTCGCCACGCCGTCGACCAGCTCCACATGCCCCAGCTTGGTCGGCAGAATGAACCGCAGACGGCCGGCGGTGGCTTTCTTGTCGCGACGCATGACGGCCAGCACTTCGTTCTCATCAAGTTTCGGCGGGGCGGTGGGAAGTTCCAGTGCCTGCAGCAAACGAAACTGCCGGTCGGTGTCCTCAGCCGTGATGCGGCCCAAGCGTTCGGCTAATCGTGAAGCACACAGCATGCCGACCGACACGGCTTCGCCATGCAGCATCTGTCCATATCCGCAGAGCGTTTCGAAGGCGTGGGCGTAGGTGTGCCCGTAGTTCAGGGCCGCGCGAATGCCGGTCGTCTCGCGTTCGTCTTGTTCCACCACGTCGGCCTTCAGTTGGCAGCTGCGTGCAATGACCGCTCGCAGTACTCCATCATCGCGCGAGTTCAAACCGTCGATGTTCGCTTCCAGGTAGTTAAAGAACTCGGCATCGAGAATCACGCCGTACTTCACCACTTCGGCCAGCCCGGCTCGATATTCACGATCGGGCAGGGTGGTCAGGGCCGCCGTGTCGATCAGCACGCCTTGCGGCTGCCAGAACGCGCCCACCATGTTCTTCGCCCCGGGCAGATTGATGCCGACCTTGCCGCCGACGGAGCTATCAACGTCGGCCAGCAGCGTGGTAGGCACCTGGAAGAACGGCAGCCCCCGCGCGTACGAGGCCGCAGCGAACCCGGCCAGGTCGCCAATCACCCCACCGCCCACCGCAACCACCACCGAATGCCGATCGGTACCGCAGGCCAGCATCTCGTTCCACAACTGCGAGATTTGGTCGATCGACTTGCTCTTCTCCCCGGAGGCAATCTTAAACAGCGTGTGAGCAATCCCGGCCGCTTCCAGCGAGGCAATGCAAACGCTCGCGTGCGGCTCGATCACATTTTCGTCCGCAATCACTACGGCCTTCGACAGGTTGCTTGCCGCACGCAGCCGGTCGGCCAGTTGGGCCATATTGCCGGTACCAATCTCGATGTCGTAGCTGCGGGGCCCCAGCTCGACGTGTACACGTTCGACAGTCGACGGCACGCCGTCCTCCCTGTGGTATTGATTCATTCGGTAACGCAGGTTGCTTCGGCTAAGCACGTGCCCCACGGCACGCCCCGACGCAAACTGCCAGTATACTACGCTTAAGGTGTGGGCTCTTGTACCGGGGGCGAGTTGATCCCACCCATGACGATCGAGCAAGGGGTGTCGACTGATGACGGCGTCTGATGAACCTGCCACCGGGCACACCCCGGTGCCGCTTGAAGGCGTGCGGGTGCTCGACCTTTCCCGGATCTTGGCCGGGCCCGTCTGCTGCCAGGTGCTGGCCGATCTGGGAGCCGACGTGGTCAAAGTCGAACGGCCCGGCACAGGCGATGATACGCGACAGTGGGGGCCACCGTTCTTGGGCGACGACGGCCCCAGCGCCTATTACCTTTCAGCCAACCGGGGCAAACGCTCGCTTGCGCTCGACCTGGGACACGACGATGCTGCCGCGGTATTACACGACCTTATCCGTCAGGCCGATGTATTGGTCGAGAACTTTCTCCCGGCCTCGCTGGAGAAGTTTGGCCTCACGCCCGATCGACTGGCCGAACTGAACCCGACGCTGGTCGCTTGTTCGATCTCCGGCTACGGACGCACTGGCCCCAAGGCCGACGTGCCGGGGTACGACCTCGTGATTCAAGCCGGCAGCGGGCTGATGGCCATCACCGGCGAGCCCGACGGCCAGCCGATGAAAGTGGGCGTGGCCATCACCGATGTGATCTGCGGTATGTACGCCGCCACCAGTGCGCTGGCCGGTCTGTTCGCACGTGGCAAGACTCAACGGGGCATGGCGTTCGACTTGGCCTTGGCCGACTGCACATTGGCCAGCTTGGTGAATGTGGCCCAAAGCACACTGATCACCGGCCAGCGACCAGCGCGTTACGGCAACGCCCATCCGCAAATCGTTCCTTACGAAGCCTTCGATACGGCCGACGGTCACATCGTGCTGGCTGTCGGCAACGACGCGCAGTGGCGACGTTTCTGCCAAGCCGCCGGCAACGATCTGTGGAGCGAAGACGAACGCTTCGCCACCAATCCACTGCGGGTCGAACATCGCGCCGAGTTGATCGAACTGCTCGTACCGCTGATCGTTTCACGCACCACCGACGCCTGGTGCCGTCTACTCAGCAAGGCCGATGTGCCCCATGGGCCGGTGCTGGGAATCGACGAAGCCGTCACCGATCCGCAGTTTGCCGCCCGAGGAATGATCCTCCCGGCCGAAGACCCCCAAGGCCGCAGCTACCCGCTGCTCGGCGGAGCAATTCACTGGCAAGGCGAGCCCCCCCGCACTGCCGCCACGCCGCCCGGCTTAGGAGAACACACCGACGAGGTGCTCAGCGACTGGCTCGACTTGAGCCCTAAAGAAATCACCGCGCTTCGCCAGCGCGGAGTGGTCGCATAACGCCGCGAACCCAAGCGGCTTATTCGATCCAACCTCCGCCCAACACTTGATCGCCGTCGTAACACACCACGGCCTGACCGGGAGCCACGCCGTGTTGGGCTTCGGCGAAGTGAACACGGAACCGATCGTCCTCCAGCAGTTGCACTCGGGCCTTCGCGGGCTTGCTTAGGTAACGGATCTTCACCGTGCAATCGAACGCGTCCTGCGGCGGGTCGACCAGCCAGTTCGAGCGGGATGCGGTAAGTTCGGTTCGCCCCAGCTCTTCACGCTCGCCAATCACCACACGTCGCGTTTCAGGTTCAATGCGAACGACGAATCGCGGTTCGCCCAGTGCCACGCCCAGCCCCTTCCGCTGCCCGATGGTGAACTTCTCGATGCCATCGTGCTCGCCGACTACCGTGCCGTCGGTCATCACAATCTCGCCGTGGCGGTCCGCGTCGCCCAAGCGGTTCTGTACAAACTCGGCGTAGTTGTTCCTGCCGACAAAACAGATCTCCTGGCTGTCGCGCTTCTCGGCCACCCGCAGTCCAATCTGCTTGGCCAGTTCGCGAATCTCCGGCTTGGTGTAGTTGCCCACTGGCAGCATCATCCGCGAGAGGATATCGCGCTGAATGCCGAACAGCACATACGACTGATCTTTGTCATCGTCGCGTCCACGCAGCAGCCGCGGTGATACACCTGCACGGTCAGATGGAACCAGGCGCGCGTAATGCCCGCTGGCCACGAACTCGGCGCCCACACTGTCGGCATACCCGCACAGCCGGCCGAACTTTAGCCAGTTGTTGCACATCACGCAGGGGTTCGGCGTACGTCCGGCGGCGTACTCATCGACGAAGTAGTCCATGATCCGGCCGAACTCTTCTTCGAAGTCGAGCGCGTAGAACGGGATGTCCATCTGGTCGGCCACCCGTCGGGCATCGGCCGCGTCGCTCGCACTACAACAACCCTGCTTGTTGCTCCGCGGTTCGGCCAACGGCAGCAAACTCGAACTCGGTTCGCTCACCGCACACTCGGGCTCGATCGTATGCCCGTGCCGCATGAACAGCCCCACGACCTCATGGCCCTGCTCGCGCAGCAGGTGAGCGGCGACACTACTGTCGACCCCACCCGACATCGCTAAAACCACCCGAGCCATAACGCCAGCAAAACAATCGCGGGAAAAATGCAAGAAATCGGGGCCTGCAGACCCCGAACGCCGATCAATGGAAGTCTATGCCCAGCGAGCAAAGGCGACAACCAGCCCAGAAGAAGGCCCCCGCGATCGACCCCGGTAAATCACCCCACTCCCGCTGTACGGAACGGCAATTCGCGGAACGCCAAGAGGGCGTTACCTACAGGACGCTGGAAGAGATATTTCCAGGGAGAAGGAATCGCTGATCCATTTCCCGCATCACCACAGACGGCGATACCAGGGGCGATTGCTGTCCGCTTCGTTGTCGCGACGGGCTTGCAGAACGGGGTCGTCTTCCACCGGATCGGAGATGGCAATCTCCTCCGTCTCCATGTCGGAAGCAACCACCTCCTCGTCTTCATCGCCACCGGGCCAGATATCGCGGAACTTATCGCTTACATTCCGCGACCAGCGGGCGATGCGACCCCGGCGGGGCTGGTCTTCTGCGGCCAAGGCCTCTGCCGTACTGCGGGTCACTTCAGCCACCGCGGGCGAAGGTGCAGGCACGATCGGATCGTACTGCGGCACCCGCGATTGATCGTAACCCTGCTCGAAATCAATCAGGCCAGGGCCCTTCTCGGCCACCGCCTCGGGCAGAGTGATTTGCTCTTCCTCTGTCTCCGTGGCGTTGTGCATCCCGTAGATTTCCAGCGGATCGCTGTACGCCGGCGCGGATTCCTCGCTCGCCACAGTCGGCGACTCCTGCGGAGTGGGAGTCTCCGGACGCAGCGGATTCACCACACCGTTCGTGGCGTAAGCCTCTTCCTCAACCGCAGGCGCGGTCACTTCCGGAGTGGCCAACGGTTGCTCGTATTCGGGAACCGCCTCTTGCTGGGGTTCGGCTTGAACCGTCTCCGTCGGCAGTGGCTGCTCCACGGGAGGTGTTCCGCCAAGCAGCGGATTGACCGAGTTGTCTTGATACCAAGGATCCACGTAGGGCTCGACGGTTTCCGCTTCAGGCTCCAGCGGAATGCCGGCCATGATCGACTCATCAAGCGGTAGCGTGCCTTGCGGCAAGTCGCTCGCAGGCCAGGCTTCCTCCGCAGGGCTCGTCTCTTGAGCCACCTCCAACTCTTCCGCAGGCGTCACTTCTTCCGGCTGTGTCCCTTCGGGAGTCGCTTCAGAAGCTTCCGCCATCCGTGGAGGCAACTCTTCGGCCACCGCGGGGGCAGGCTGAGCTGCTTCGGGCGTTTCGATGCCGTAGGCGACGAGCTGTTGTTTCAAGTGTCGCTGAAGTTGATGCTGGTCGACCCGAACCGTGGGTTGATCCCATGTGCCCAGCAGACGGA